ACTTGAAAGGCTTTTCTCCCGTGTGGGTTCGAAGATGTGTTCGCAGATGTCCACTTTCAGCAAACGTCCTCTCACACATTGAGCACTCAAAAGGCCTTTCTCCCGTGTGGGTTCGAAGATGTACATGCAAAGTTCCACTTTCAGCAAACGTCCTCTCACACAATATGCACTTGAAAGGCTTTTCTCCGGTGTGGGTTCGAATGTGTGTCCGCAGATGTCCACTTTGAGCAAACGTCTTCTCACACACTGTGCACTTGAAAGGCTTTTCTCCCGTGTGGGTTCGAAGATGTGTTCGCAGATACGTCTTCTCACACACTGTGCACTTGAAAGGCTTTTCTCCCGTGTGGGTTCGAAGATGTGTTCGCAGATGTCCACTTTCAGCAAACGTCCTCTCACACATTGAGCACTCAAAAGGCTTTTCTCCCGTGTGGGTTCGAAGATGTGTGCGCAGATGTCCACTTCGAGCAAACGTCTTCTCACACATTGAGCACTCAAATGGCTTTTCTTTTGTGTGGATTCGCAAATGGCTTCGCAGATCTCCGCTTTTAGCAAAAGTCTTCTCACACACTGTGCACTTGAAAGGCTTTTCTCCCGTGTGGGTTCGAAGATGTGTGCGCAGATGTCCACTTCGAGCAAACGTCTTCTCACACATTGAGCACTCAAAAGGCTTTTCTTGTGTGTGGATTCGGAGATGTTCTCCCAACTTTGACCTACATTGTATTTTCTTCTTGCAAAAAGGACGGATGCAAGTCCCATACGATGTGTCCATTCTTGTGGCGTGGTAAAATTTTCTGGTAGAAAAATCCTTCTTGTAATATACTTCTCCACCCGGGATGGGCAAGCAGGCGGAGCGTGGACGTGGAAAATTCTGGAAAAGAGGAAGACGTGTTAAAAACTTGCATATTGGCGGTTGAATCCGAAACGCAGAGAGAGGCGGCACAAACACGACAAGAAACACCAAACTGTTGTGGAGAAAGGGAGAGCGACGTGTTTTAACTTTGAATCCGCCGCTTTCCCGCGCTTTGCTCCCCGCAGGCCGACCAACAGAAGTACAAGCGAGCCCTTTCCCTCCTCAATGCTACAAACACGCGGAACAGAGAGAGAGGAGGGGGGTGGTCGGGAGAGAGAGAGAGGGAGCGTCCATAATTTATCATATAATTAGCGGCAGGTGGAAAGAAGGGTCGTTGCGGTGGCTTTGAAGGGGGAGGGTAGGAGTGGGCAGCCCCCCCCCTCAGGGTGACCACCATCC